CCAATCAGATCTTAGCAAAGGCAATGTTATTTTGTTTACCCCAGCTTTCTCTTAGCTGATCACTATTAGCTAGGCCTCTGGTCTCCAGACCAAACTCTAGACTTTGGGTCTGGAAAAGAGCTGGCACAATCCATACATCAGGTTGTTATATAACATGCGCATGGATTTTAACCCTTCAGTATTCCTGATACTAGGAAATTTAGTAACAAAAATGTGGATAACACCCACAAAAAGGAACTTGGAATCCAACAGCTGATTCTGTCCCACAAAGAAGGCACCAAAATGGTGCTCTGAACGGGACTGATCCTACTTTTATTATCGTAGATGAGAGATTTGCTACTGAATTCAATGGAGCAGGATTGGACCCCCTGTTATGGTGGATACACACCACTGGAACACCCCTGCCTCATTTTCTCCTAATGGACTTTCAGTGATTTCAATGAGGCTTTTATGTAGTAGATAGTGCCCCTTCAGAGATCTAATTTATTGAATCAAAGACCAAAACATTGCCATCACCTGGGAAGTGCTCCGTCTCTGGGCTCCAGGCCCCTATAAAGACCAAACCACTACAGCTCTTCCACAGAGCAGCATGCATTCCAGAGGCTCTCTCTCTTCTGGCCTTTCCTTGTCAGTTATTCACCCTCCATTCCCAGTGGCAATTCCTTCTTCTGCTTTGGAGGAACACACCCCTCAAGACCCGGACCATGCAGAGGAGCTTTGAAGGGAGTGAAGGAGGGAGCATGGGAGGGGGGAGGGAGGGTTCCAGCTTGGGTGAAAGGGATACTCTGGGGTTGGGGGTCCTGGATTGTTTCTACTCTCCTCTTCTTCCAGGACCTGCTCCCTTACCTATGAGGGCTGTCCATAAATTACGCAACACATAGGGGGTGAGTGGGTCCTTAATTTTCCATGACAGCGTGTTTTAGTGTTACAAGGGGGTTAGTGGGTCCTGAAAGATCACCAAAAATGTGTTATGTAATTCATGGCCAGCCCCTGTAGAGCTGGTCCATACATTTCCTCCTCTGGCCAACTGGAAGACCCCTGCCTCAGTTTCTCCTAATGGATTTTCAGTGAAAGAGACTGTGAAAAGGCTAAAGTTAGTTAAAGGAGCTGAAGATGGTCTGTGTGGTCAGTAGGTGAAGATGTAACTGATGGCATGAGTGTATTATTCTACACTTTCAAGATTCCTCAACCACAGCTTTGGGAGATAGTTCCCAGGTGAGCAATAGTGGTGGATTTTGAGTATATATGTGGCACAAAGTACAGTCTTATTAACATTTATGGACATCATAGCTGGGGAAGGGAGAGAGCACTATGGTTGGAGATGTTACTCCTTTTCTTTTTACCTCTTGGACTGTTATTTTTGGAGGTGACTTGAACTCTCATGTTCAGGTACAGGATAGTGGAAGCAGTGAGGTGGATGGGAAGGGACCAGGGGAACAGATTCATAGATTCATAGATTCTAGGATTGGAAGGGACCTCGAGAGGTCATCAAGTCCAGTCCCCTTCCCACATGGCAGGACCAAATACTGTCTAGATGTTCAACTGTTATATACATTAGGGCAAAAAGCTGAACTGAAAGATGTCTTTTTGGAAGAGGATTTGGAGGGCAAATCTCAGAAGCAGAAGGCTGGGAAGGGTGTGTGTGTGTAATTTTAGAGAAGCAAAGAAGACTAGAATTGACTGGTGGTACATACAAAAGGGAGTAAAGTGTGTACAGTCCCAGGCCATCACATTGGAGGTACTAGATCATTTATATCCAAGGCACCACAGCCATCCTACACCAGGATAAATGTATTTTTAACACATCTTAGCTAACACTGTAGTTAGTCTGTGTTAATATACTACAGTAGACAAGACAGTTGTAGGTTTAACATGTGTTAGCTGGTTGAGGTAAACCTTCGACTAGTCAGGGACAGAGTTATACTGGACCTTGGAAGCAAAGACAAAAATTTTAAATATAAACTGATGCATTTTTCAAAGAAAATAATTACAACATAATGAACATATCTTGCAGATTTTGCTAGAACTCTTCATAAGGTGGTAATTTGATATAGACAAATTGTATTCTGTGCCTGCACACCCAGAACTGCTGTGTCACACTGAGGCATAGGCAACCTAGGCATGTACTTAGGACCCAATTTGGGTGGGGAGGGGGGAGACTGAAGACGGGACAACTGGCATGGTGGTGTGACCACATGAACCAGGTCACAATGCCACTCACTCAAATTTGTCCCCCCCACGCCCCAACCTCATGAAGAAAATAGAGGGGAGAGACAATAAGATGGAAAATATATTTTTGCCCTTATATAAATCGATGGTACACCCACATCTTGAATATTGTGTACAGATGTGGTCTCCTCATCTCAAAAAAGATATACTGGCACTAGAAAAGGTTCAGAGAAGGGCAACTAAAATGATTAGGGGTTTGGAGAGGGTCCCATATGAGGAGAGATTAAAGAGGCTAGGACTTTTCAGCTTGGAAAAGAGGAGACTAAGGGGGGATATGACAGAGGTACATAAAATTATGAGTTATGTAGAGAAAGTAGATAAGGAAAAGTTATTTACTTATTCCCATAATACAAGAACTAGGGGTCACCAAATGAAATTAATAGGCAGCAGGTTTAAAATAAATAAAAGGAAGTTCTTCTTCACGCAGCCCACAGTCAACTTGTGGAACTCCTTACCTGAGGAGGTTGTGAAGGCTAGGACTATAACAGCATTTAAAAGAGAACTGGATAAATTCATGGAGGTTAAGTCCATTAATGGCTAGTAGCCACGATGGGTAAGGAATGGTGTCCCTAGACTCTGTTTGTTAGAGGGTGGAGATGGATGGCAGGAGAGAGATCACTTGATCGTTCCCTGTTAGGTTCACTCCCTCTGGGGCACCTGGCATTGGCCAGTGTCGGTAGACAGGATACTGGGCTAGATGGACCTTTGGTCTGACGCAGTACGGCCGTTCTTATGTTCTTATGAAATGCAGCAAGACCATATCTAAGCGGGCAGTGCGTCAGCCAGTACTGTTGCTCCTTGCTGCTGCCATGGGGCTGGCTTCTGCACCAGGCCCACTGCCTTGGGGGCATAGGCACTGACTCTGTGGGTGCTCCAGGGCTGGAGCACTCACAGAAAAAAAAATAGTGGGTGCTCAGCACCCCCCAGCCAGCCCGCGGATCAACTCCTCCCTCCCAGCCCTCCCACCTGCTGGCAGGCCCCACGGATCAGCTCCTCTCCCACCCTCCCAACACCTCCCACCTCCCACAATCAGCTGTTCAGCAGTGTGCAGGGCGCACTGTGGAGGAGGGGGAGGAGAGGGGCAGGAAGATGTGGGCGAGGGGTGGAAAAGGGCAGCACAGGGATGTGCGTGGGAAGAGGTGGTGCGGAGCAGGGGCAGGAAGAGACAGAATGTGGGTGGGGCTGGGGGGAAAGGGTGGAGTTGGGGCAGGGCCTGGGGCGGAGCGGGGGTCAAGCACACCCCAGGAACTTGGGAAGTCGGCACCTCTGCTCGCGGGGCCTGCTTCCAGCAGCCGCGTCCTTTCTGCTCTGCCCACAGGACTTGCTCAGAGACAGCTGCAGGGGAGAGTTGGCTGGGAGAGGGGTGGCAGGGAGCGCTGGGGGGTGGACAATGGGGTTTTGCCTGGGTCCCAGTGATGGGTTAATCCGGCGCTACTCAGCAGGTGTGAAGAGTTTGTAATATAATGGTGTTTACTAGACATAGTGCAGTCAAATTAAGGGTTACTTAGTGGTTTCAGTACCTAGAAGTCAAGACAGCTTTAGTTATTTGCTTAGCCACCGCAACAAAACAAATGGTGTGCTTTGGCCCCATATGGGAATACACACAAAGCTAACCTTTCTTGAAAATCTGCCCAGCCCAGCATGGTGAATGTAAATAGCCTGCTTTAACTGGAAGAGCAGGCTCCACATTTGACTATTCTGGTTTTGAAAGAAATTCCGCAGACCACATTATCAAAGAATTCAAGGACATTTATAGAAGCATAATTAGAGAGGGACTCTTATTTCCTTCCTCTTTTCCTGCTTCTCCCCTGGCCAATCCCTACAATCAAACAATTTTTTTTTAAAGTTTGTCATGTTATTGGTACTTTCAGAGGATGGAACTTAAAACACTTCCCTGCAGCTTTCTGCTTGTAGGGGGTAACCCTAAAACCACTGACGTTAATGGAAAGATTCCCATTGCCTTCAATGGGCTTTGGAACGGACCCTCTTAGGGTAAGGTCCTGATCCTGCATCAGAAACCACTGGCACAGTCTCCTGAACCTGTGCAACCTCCACTGATGTTAATGGGACCCTGCATGGGTCCAGGTTAGCGGATCTTAATGCAGGATAAGAGCTATGAAGATTTACAGATCATTGAGGTAATTTTTTTCTAAAGAAAATTTTAAAACTGAGTCTTTGCTATGACTTTGAGAGCTCCATCTTGTGCAACACAAAGCCACTAGCTTTGAAACAATGCCATAGCAATAGCGTCCTGTGCCAGATACTACAGTTATTCAGGGTTACTTGAGCAAAAGTAATGAGAAGTATTAAAGTAATGTTTACATAATGAAATGTAATATCAATCATGCTATGTACATTAGCGATAAGAGGAAAGATTGAGTTGTTTTGGATAAAACTGAGCTCTCCTCTTGAGAATGGAAAATTACTAGTAGGCTGTAAATTTTGACTCTTAATTTTTAATGTTATTTTTCATTTGGTATTAACAAATTCTATTGTAATTCATTTTGACAGGATGACAAAATTCTCTTCTAAAATGTCGGCACTGAGTGATTTTACAACATGTGAAATATGAAGATGGTAATAACCTACCAAAATGTGTAGGTTTCATGATGTGTAGACTGTTGTCTCCTGTGAATGGAAGTAAATCCACAAAGCTTATATAGGAGTGAGCAGATACTAGAGCTAAAATTCCAGCAATGAATCAAAACTGTTATTCAGATCCCTCATCTTAGGG